ATGGGGGTGAGTAGAAAATGAAGGCTAACCATGTTTTGGGTGTACTATTCCTTTAATATTCCCAACGAGGTCTAAAGGAATTTTGAAGACTTGATCTCCTATCAGGTCTTTCTGATCATATTTTCTCCCAAAGCTAGATCTTACCTTTTCATCCCTAAACACCTGCAACAGCATCTGTAGACTGAACTTGAACAGATAAATTGATCTATTGTAATAGAAATGGTAGATAGTTTTAATCAAACTATCAATATTTTAACTCGGTTCTCCCTGAAGTTTGGAAAGCATAAAGATATTTATCTTATATTAACACTGCCAGCCCACACCAGGAGCTGTGAAACCTACATAAGTTGTAAAACCTCCTTGAAACGTTGGTGAACACATGGTGAAATGATCCGTTTCCTTGAGCCTGTTCACCTAATCTTATTGTGATTTTACGTTATTTGCGTCTTATCTGTATGGAATTGCTATGTTCTCTCCTGTAGCATCTTGTTTATTATTTACTGTTTTTACCTGCTTTAGGACAGCAAATGCAAATTAGCTGTTGTGCTAATTGCTGCATATTTACATTGATGCTTAACTCATGTTGATGAGTGCGCGTTGTCCTTATTGAAATAGATCAACAAAAATCTTAGAAATGCACACGCTTTGATGCTAAGCAGTAACTTACAAGTTAAACACTTTTTACTTGTTTTCTACCGCTGTTTAGGTCCATTTTCTCTGTGCTGGACCTGATGAAGGTGGACATGGCTAACTTTGCAGTGAAGAGCATCAAGCCACATCTCATGCAGCAGTCGGTTGAGTATGAGAGGAACAAGTTCCAGGAGTTTCTGGAGAAACAACCAAGTAAAGAATGGCCCCTTTGCAAAAACCCTTTGTGTTATACTCCATGGTGGTGTCAAGTCAGGGGTAATGTTTAGTTTTTTCTTGCCGAAGGATGAAAAAAAAAGCAGTTCTTTGTTTTATTTTCAAACTAAAACTAAAAACAGAAAGTAAATTGGCTGAATGTGCACCGACCTTTCCACTCCAGTTTAACCAGTTCTATTCACTGGGCATGATACGCCCAAAATGTTTCACCTTCATTTGGTTTGGTTTATGTTCACACTACGCTTTTAAAAAAAGGACCAAACAACTGGAAACAAGTCATGCAGTTTTTATCAATTCCTGACTGATGAGCAAGTGAGCGTAACGTTAATAATAAATCAATGAATGCAGCTTTCTCTATTTACCATTTGATTTATAAATGCCTGAAATAAGAGTCTATATTCCTTAAATCCAGAATTAACTCTAGGTAGCAGGAATCTATTTCCTGTTTTGGATGTTCAATAGGAGCTTGATCTCACATGGACTCCCTGACTGACCAGTGTCCCCTGAACACCAACATGCCAGCTGCAGGTGTACTGACTGATAGTTCTGTCATCACTCAATACAAATGAAATTTAATTACAGTGGAGTTACATACTATATAATGATTTAGCCTAATAAAATGGACAATTTCTTCTAAGAAGAACCAATGTGGTCACTTAGCGAAGGAATAGATTCGGATTTCAGCTGACTGATTGAGCAAGACTCCGTTGAGCAAGTCTGATGCGCTCGGAAAATTTGGACCTGATAGATTAGAAATGGGAGAAAAATGGTGAATGTGACATTTTCTCTTAAATTGCTCGTAAAAACGATTTAAGAACAAATCTTTTCATGTGAATGGTTCTTGCATAATGTTCACTTTTGATCGGAGGAGGAGATCCCATGGGAATCTGAAACATATTTTGTGCACCACTCCTACTGAATAATAAAAGACGAATAAAATATGTGAAACCCTTCTGATTTCCAATAAAAAGAAATTTGAAACTATGGTTAATAGTCAGGGTATGTTGCTCTGACATACTGTCCGACTATTTGCCCATTCATTCCAATGACATTACTTTTCTTGTGTATAACAGAGCGGCTCTGCTTAAGAATTGACATCAGTGCCCTCTAGTGGATTATAACATTACAACACTTAAAGAAAATTTTTCTAATCAGACCAGACCAGATCAATAATTTGGATAGCATAAATATTAATCTAATAAACATTTAATAATCATTTATAATTTGTTTCCATCTCTAGTTTTAACCGAAGTGTTTACTGGATAGTTGTGTTTAGTTGATCATCACTAGAATCCACTTTCTGTTCAGTTAGACCCACATTTCCAGTGTTTGATCATCTGTTCTGCACCATGGTTCTGATTTTTTTTAAAACCTTGCCCAAATTAACTGAACTATCCAGAACAGTGTCATCTTTTTTTGTTTAAAGCCGACCAATTGTGCAAATTAACACTGACATTTACTAACAAAATGAATAAAACCTGTTGAGGATTTAATTCTTTACAATATGCATGTTTGTGAGTTTTTCCTCTGTCTTTTGGGTTGTCACGATACTAAACTTTTCAACTCGATACCGATACTAAGGAAAATATTCGATATTCGATACCATTTTCGATACCACAAGGATAAAAACAAAGACTCCAAAATTCTACAGAAATATTTTCATTAATAAATAAAATACAATAAATAAATACAATAAAGGTTGTATGCTGTGCACAATATTAAGCAAGCTTGATAAAAAACTTATAAAATTAAAATTAAGTGTTCCTTTCTTGGCTATGCTTTGCACACATAACAATGACACTAGCCAAACCGGTTAAGAAACAAAAATAATTCTCAGCAGCTGCAGCTGTTACAGAAAAATGTCTGAAACTGAAAAGTGCGTAGCATTATTCAATCACACAGTGTTCAGAAAGTGCATTTTCCTCTATTCTGCACTTTAGATGAATGACTGCTTAAGTGCAACTGGTGGTGGCACTGTATCGATACTTTTAAAAACTAGTATTGTATCGGATACAACGTTTCAGTATCGATACTTTATTGAGTATCGATACTTTTGACAACCCTACTCTACCCTGATCGACTCCCTGCCGCTGCTGTGAAGAATAAACATGTCCATTTATTTCAGATGCCTTAGACTACACAGAGAAGTGGCTGGAGGAAACGGTGAAATCTCTGAGAGAAACAGACGGTTCTGCTGCTGCCTCCAGTGACCCCCCTTCCCTCCTCCCATTAAATGTTCACAATCACGCTTATCTTCGCCTGCTCAGGTGGGATCATGCTTCAGACCCTTTCCCAGAGGTAAATACTCAGTCCTCGTCCTTCATTTTTTTGGTTTATTTATTTCCTGCTCATAAGACGGAACATTTTTTTCTCCCTTCTCCCAGACGGTGCTGATGGATCAAGTTCGGTTCTTAGAGATGCAGAAGGAGGTGGAGCGGTTAGTTCTGCTCTCCTCTGTGCTCCTTGTTGTCTACACCACCACAGGAGACGCCATCTCTGGCCTCCCAGGACTGATGGAGTCGCTTAAAAACACTGTCAGTGTCATGCTCACAGAAATGCACGTTCCGTGAGTACAAATATATAAGTCTAGAGCTACTCTGATGCTCAAAATGTATTCAGTTGGTTTTAATGTTTTAGCAGTTATGCAGCCATGAACTCCACTGTAACCAAACATATTAGAAGCCATGGATTCCACTGGGACTGATTTCTGACGTAATTGACACTTATTCTGAAAATAAAGCTGATACAGTAGCCGCCTTTACATTTACCATCAAATTACTGAATTACTAAGACAAATTCTTTCTAAATGACAAAATTGCAGTTTTGAAAAACTCATCTTAGAAATCAGTAGAAATTCTTATACTTCGCAAAAGCTGCAACGGAAACACTTTTTTCGCATCATATGAGTCACGTGATCTCAAACGCACCCCTACTGCCTTGGAAAAAGACAAAGAAGACTGGAAGTTGTTGGGAGGATGAGAATGCGGAGATTTGGATAAAGGATGAGACCATTTTTTTCCCATTTATTATACAACGATGAGCGTCATCACTCTTGAGCCTTGGCTGACATATGGATATATCTTATGTGTTGACGTCTGCTGCTGCCATGTTGTTTTCATGTGTTTTCAAGAATTATCACATGAACAGATACTGTATATTACCTGCAATTTATTTTATGGAAATACCACAACTTTAATCTGAAGATTTCCCTTTTCAGAATTAGCTGAATATCGTCATAGTTTTATGGACATTTGTAATGAAAACAAAACTAGTACCTCTCAAAAGTATTAAACCTTTTCGACATTTGTGATGCTATGGCAAACTTGGAGCAACGCAGTTCACATATTTTATGAGGTAGAGCAGAGTGTTGTAGTCAAGACCACTCCGACCGAGACGAAGGAGTACAGAGACTGAGACGAGACTTTAGAGGCCGAGACCAAGACCGTACAAAGTCTTGATCTCTAGAGGTCTTGGCCTTGTCTCGGTCTCAGTACTCATTGGTCTTGGTGGGTGTGGTCTTGACTGCAAGGCAAGTAGAGCAGGAAAAAACTGTGGGGAATGGAGGGAATATTTCCTAAATAACTAACAATTGCATGTACCTACCAGCTTTATACATCTAAGACCTGATCTTTACAGATTAAAGATAAGAGATTGGTAATCTCTTCACCAGTATACCACATATATATGATATGTCATGTCAAACCCTGATACCACAGCCATGAATGGTCAGATTCCCTAAGTTTAGTAGTGCAATAAGTGGGTGTGCAGGTGATCTACAAAGAATGCTGCACAAGACCTGTAAACTGGTTCGGTCCCGCCCATTAAAATAAACAGTGAACACTTAAACACCAACCATTAAAATGAACACTGCTGTGGCCATAAAAGAAAGAGCAGTTTCTAAACCATGTAGATAGAGGTAATAACATTGGCAATACTAAATCATTTTCAATGCACACCTCAAATGGGAAGCCTAAGTGCTAAAAACAAAAGGGAAATATAAAACATAATTTTGTGTAAAGCTGTGTTTTACTGAAAGAATGAGGAGGAAAAAAATCCTTTTTCCCCAAATCCATTTTTTTCCCAGGTCATTCAACATGCAGGAGGCCTTAGCGACCATTGGGGAGAAACTGTGTGTGGAGCTGAGCCAGTGTTTAAGCCAACATGGCTTCCCTTCCCTCACAGCTGAGCGTAAGAGCACTCTGAAGGGGCAGATCTCTGCCATCATCCATCCAGACAACACAGTCCGAAAGCTGATGGGTAAGACTCGTTCCCCCTCCTTACATCCCTTCATTTTGCAGCGACTAAAGAAAAACCTTCCTCGTCTTCCTCTTTAGACTCTCGGATTCAAAGCTATCTCCTGGCTGCCCTGGAATCCAGTCAGCACAAGACACCTCCTCCTCTCCCAGGAGGTCTGGCTCCGGTCAGCAGGGAACTTGGAGAGCTCTCGGTCCGCTTCAGCCGCCTGGTCAACTACAACAAGCTGGTTTTCTCTCCGTTCTACCAGAAGATCCTCCAGAATGCACCAACTCCTGAAGAGGGCCCTAGCATAGAGACATAAAGCCCCCCCCTACTGGGGTCGGGAGTTCCTCTGCTCTCCCTTATTGGCAACAGTTTGGATGCAGAAAGGAAAGTTAAAGAGGCAGATCTTTAATCTAAGAGGGAAGCCAGTCCTGCAGAGCTAGCACCTTCAAATATTACAATTCCACTCACATTTACTGATGCAGTGTTGTTTCTTCATTAAAATGACAATTTCAATGATTGCATTAACTTCCCGAGTATCGTGCATGGATAACCAAACTGTTGGTACTGTAGTTTTATTATAACCAGGCACAGTGTGAAATTACAGAGGTATTCATATCACTTGAACCTTTACAGACTTTGTCAAATCATTGCCACCAAAACTTTGATGTAATATATTTGGACGGAGAGACGTAGGGAAATCTGTGCCTGTTTATGAAGTGAAAAAGAAAGGATACTTGGTGTCACGTTTTTAGGCAAAAAGATATATTAAATCTATGGCATGCAGATGTAGTCAAAGCACTTGGACCAGAACTATGAAGAACCATCTTTCTGGCTTGCTAAAGGAAATCTATAAAATATAACAAATTTCATGGTTTTAACAGAACAAAGTGTAAATGAGGATCACACATAGTTTTTAAAAGCACTGTAATTAAGTCCACTTCGTATCATCAGCTAAGCTGGCGATCACAGTAAGTCACCTTACACTGGTTATGTGTCCAGTTCTGCTTTAGTGTTTAATTGTATTTTAAATCCCTAAATAGACTTGAATGTTTTCAGCTTCAAAACTGTTTTAAGCAATAGAAGATTTGTTAGCTTCTTCTGTAGAAAAATCCTCTGGTCATAAAGTATAGACCAGTTGGTGTGTTCCACTGGTCATAAAGGGTGTTTTAGGGATGTAAGGGGTTAATTTTAGAGATATTTGCAATGAATGTAAGTAAAAAAGCAAAACCCCTGAAAAAAAAAGGTCTTACATATGCGTTATCGGATGGAAAGCATATAAATTCAAGTAAGACATTTCCTGCATGTGTTATGTCGACCACTGAGAATAATGCCTCACTTTAGAGTTTTGGAGGAGAAATGAAATTTGATGACCTTTAGATTAGTGGTTTTGAGCCGACAGAAATGAACAGAACAGAACTGTGAGCCGTTCGATCCATCGTAAGAAAAGAAACCTTTAAAAAAAATCTATCGGTCGTCTAAACTAGTTTTCTGGCTTCTCTGAAAATCTCCAGTTGCAGAAAATACAACCTTAAACATTTTTGGTCGGTACGAGTCTTTTGTTTTCTCAATTCATTCAGAACACAAAGGAAAGGAAATTATGAACCAATGGATACTGACCCAAAATACTGTCCTGTAGATGTTTTCAGTGTAACTTTTACTTCTTATTTGCTCATTGTAAACTTATTGTTAGATATTCTCTAGTTTTATTCTGATATTTATGTTTACATTAGATTCTTCTTTATAAACATTAATTTCTTCCTTATATCAGTTGACTACCTTTTGTTGGCCCTGTTTGCTGTTATTCACAAAAATTGCACAGTTTATATTTGTTTTCACTGTTATTTGTCTTTAGGTGTTCATTTGACATGCAAATAAAGCTTGTCCAAAAATAAAGCTAAAGTTTGCTCCCACATAAAGAGGTCTGTTTTTTTTTTTTTTTAGATTGTAACATAAGTGTAACCTGTTGTATCTATACTACCTATATTATACAATTGAAGATAATTGTTTCTAAAACGCCATTTAATGTAAAATGATAATAAATCACTTACCGGTAGGTCTTATGCATGTAGTGCACATGTGTGACAGCAGATGGAGCTATAGCTCTTATAAAAAAAAATAAAAAGCCAAACTAATTTTTTTATGTCAACTTGAAGGTTTTCATTTTTCCATTAAATGAATCAAAACACTTTTTCCGTATAATCCTTTGTCAGTTTCACATAAGCAACTTTGCTTTAAATTTAGACTAAGTAAATACCACCAAAACAAGCCACTGAAATTTGTTTTTCCCAGTTTAAAGATGTTTTGCTTTCCATCCAAAGCCCCTAACATCTCCCCAATTTCACTGGCGCAGACCAATTGGGTATTGCAGGCTAAAAAAAAAGACCCCAATGACTCCCCATTAGGTCCACCATAAGGACCTAATTAGTTGTTTTTTTTCTTTACTTTTTTGGAATGACTATCATATGAGATATATATATGATATATTATGTCAAACCCTGACACCACAGCCATGAGTTTGGAATGGTTTGGACCTAACGCCAGCCTGAAAGCTGAAGCCACCTTTTGGTATCAACCTCCCAGATCACTCAGGTCTTCTAGTTCCAGCCAACTCTGTACACCCAGAACTAGAACCAAACATGGAGAAGCAGCATTTAGTTCCTATGCTCCACTGATCTGGAACAAACTTTCAGAAGACTGGAAAAGTGCTGAAAGGCTGAGTTCTCTTAAGTCAAAGTTAAAAGCCCATTTGCTTAGAGCTGCCTTTGACTGTTGAAGATAAAATGCTAAGTGGGGTATTAGTTTAAGGTTGGGATCCAACTGTTTTACTTACTTTATCATGTTTTCACTTGCTTTTATTCTGCTTTTTTGTGGTCCAATTTCTTTTTTAGTGTCAAAGTTTTTCCATTTTTTTCTCTTCTATTTTATTATC